CAGACTTTCAATGTGTGTGTACAGACTTTCAAGGTGTGTGTTCCCCACAATCCAGAGGAATAAAACATTAGGTATGTTTACACACTCATTGACTGCGTGTCGCTGTCGCCACCCATACTTGTCATTTTTAAACAATTTGAGAAACACTTTGAATTTATTATTTATTTATTTCAAATGTGAAATGTTACCAATATACTCACGGACCACTAGGGGTCGCTCACAATGATTTGCTTTCAGCTTTAATCTACATTTGAATATATTAGATTATAGTTTATAGTATATAGTATTTGTACACACTTTTCTACCCTGACAGGTAAATGCTGTACGTGTCCTACCTGCAGTCGGTGGCTTTGGGCGGCATGACGTAAGGAAACAGCATCTCTGTGAGTTTCCGGAGGTAGAGCAGCTCGTCTTTGCGGCTGCGCAGCGCGATGTGGAGATCAGCGCCAAATTCATCCAGAGCCGCCTGCTGCAAACCCTCCACACTCTGAACTACACACAGATATAATCAGAGTTAATGAGGGTCCCTGAACGCACCACACTCTGAACTACACACAGATATAATCAGAGTTAATGAGGGTCCCTGAACGCACCACACTCTGAACTACACACAGATATAATCAGAGTTAATGAGGGTCCCTGAACGCACCACACTCTGAACTACACACAGATATAATAAGGTTAATGAGGGTCCCTGAACGCACCACACTCTGAACTACACACAGATATAATCAGAGTTAATGAGGGTCCCTGAACGCACCACACTCTGAACTACACACAGAAATAGTCAAAGTTACTGAGTATCTCTGAATGCACCACACTATGAACTGCACACACACCCACACCCACACACACACACACACACACAGCTGGAGGTTACTGAGGGTCCCTGAATGCACCACACTCTGAACTACACACAGAAATAATCAGAGTTAATGAGGGTCCCTGAATGCACCACACTCTGAACTACACACAGAAACAGCTGGAGGTTACTGAGGGTCCCTGAACGCACCACACACATCTTCATGGTTGATATTTCAAAAAATCCCCACAAAGGTTATTTATCACGGGGGGAATTGGGTTTTGTGACAGTTTAGAATGAAAGATAAATAAATAGAAATATTTTATACGTGTAAGAAGTTAAAGCAAGATAAGAAATATTTAAATAAAAGATACAAAATTGAAAGCAAAAATGTGAAGAAAGAGAAAATTGAATAAACATAGGAAGCGAAAGTAAAAGTAGCTTAATCACTTGTTTAGCTTGAAGTGTAATTAAATAAATGAATATAAATGCACTTAATATTACATGGCTTAGTCGAATACTCGATTCTGATTGGTCGATTGTGACGTTTCAGAGGTCAATAGGACAGTAGTACAGACCGTAATAATACAGATTCTTACCTTTTCTATGAGCTTTTGCAATAATCTCAATGTGCTTCATTCCAGCTTTCATCACTTTGTCTGCAAACACAGCAGGAACATCAACCTGCCGACAAACACACGGAGTACAAGACCGTTTATGTGATTAAATCTCACTATAAAGAACATTTCATAATAAAATCAATGATATCTAGTGGCCTGTTGGAATTCATCCTTTTCTTTATCTGACATTTTATTCACAAAAACTAACATTTGAAGACTTTTGATGATTAGAAATATGCTTCTTTTTTTTTTACAGCCTCTCTCACTCTTTAAAAAGAAACCTGACACGGACCTTCTGAGCGCGGCGGACGAGAACCGAGGCGAAGAAACGAAAAGTCATCCTGAGTTCATCGACACACGCATCGTCGTCCGTGATGTCCCTGAAACAGGAAGAAGGAGATTTAATTTATCCAAATAGTTATCACCGTAATAAACCGTATTTAATTTAGTCTCAATGTACAATATTACATTTTACATTCTGTTCTCGTAGAAGGAAGCATATATCAATATTCCAATTACTTACATAGACTCTTCTTGCACTATTTATATTATATTTGTATTTACTTGCTCTATGTTATCTGTTTTATTGTGTTCTGTTGGAGGAGCATGTGACCTCAGATTTACTTAGTACTCAAAATTCTGACTTTTTCAAAGAATTCTAACTTTTTCAAAGAATTCTGACTTTTTCTGCAAATCTAAACTTTTTCTG